GTAACTCGTCCGATGGGAGTGAAGGCAGCTAAAGCGCGTTCTAATAAGAAGCCACAAGATGATGGAAAGGATCTCGCTGAGTTTGAGACAATGTGGACTGTGAAGAAGGCAGATTTGACTTTCAAAGAAAGGCTGGCTAAGCTTAAAGTGTTGGAGAGTCTCGTTGCCAAACAGGGACCACTAGATGATTGTGATAAATATTTGAAAAAGATCCTCGTTAAGGAGTTATGGAATGAGTAGATTGTGTTGGTTGTGTCTCTTGTGTTTCTGTTGTTGCTTTTGTTGCTTAATCTCGGTTGTATCAAGTGTTTCTGTTGTTGCTTGTGTTTCTTTAAATCAAATTGTGTTTCTACTCCTAAGTGTGTTTCTAATCTAAGTGTGTTTCTATTTTAAGTTTGTTTGTTCTTATGTTAATACTAATGCATGAATCTTTGTTGAATAAGTGTGTTTTAATTGACTATAGCAGTTAGTATGTGTTGTCTCATGTCAAGTGTTGTCTCGTGATGGTTGCAGGTGGATCACATGGGAGAGACAGAAGAAGACAATGCTCGTGACACAGAAGAGGACCGTGACAGAAGAAGACACTGTCTTGATGTACTTTGGAAGACAAACTATTGATGTATTTTGTATTCTCTCGTGTACCAAACTCTTGTGTTGTTTCACGTTTCTGTAAATTGTGTACCAAACTCTCATGTAAACTACTTTGTCTATATAAACAAGATGAAACTTCAGAAACAATACTTCAGAAACAATTCAAAAATCATATTTCTCTAAAGGCAAACAAAACCCCTCGTCTCTCTCTCAAATCTCTCAAACCAAACACTCAAATCTCTCAAACGTATCTCTCAAATCTCTCAAACCAAACACTCAAATCTCTCAAACCAAACCGACATCAAAGGTTTAACACCAATCTCTCTCAAACCAGATCATATGGATTCTTCTTCTTCTCAACCCCCATTAGACGATTCATTGGATGAAAGATTTGATGAAATCTTTGATCAAAAATTTGATGAAATTTTTGAAAAATTTACCACTCATCGTAATGATCAAGAAAAACGAAGAAATCCAAGAAACAAACGAGCTTATATTGAAAGACATCGTGAGGCAGGCAATATACGTCTATTGAATGATTATTTCAGTGAAACTCCAACATATCCCGAAAGAATTTTCCGGCGACGTTTTAGAATGAACAAGACGTTGTTCATGCACATTGTCGATCGACTCTCAAACGAAGTTGAGTTCTTTCGCCAAAAGACTGATGCTCTTGGAAGACAAAGTCTCTCACCACACCAAAAGTGTACAGCCGCCATTCGTGTCTTGGCATATGGTACCGCGGCTGATACGGTCGACGAATACCTCCGGCTCGCTGAGTCGACTACTCGGTCATGTTTGGAGCATTTTGTGGAGGCAATAATTAATTTGTTCGGTGAAGAATACCTTAGAAGACCAACACCGGCGGATCTTCAACGTCTACTAGATGTTGGCGAGTATCGGGGATTTCCCGGGATGATAGGAAGCATTGATTGTATGCATTGGGAGTGAAAGAATTGTCCAACCTCTTGGAAAGGGCAATATGCTCGTGGATCGGGCAAGCCAACCATCGTTTTAGAAGCGGTTGCTTCATACGATCTCTGGATATGGCATGCATTTTTTGGACCTCCAGGTACTTTAAATGATATCAATGTTCTTGATCGCTCACCAGTTTTTGATGATATTATAAACGGTCATGCTCCACAAGTCA